CCTGAAACCGAGCAGTATTTTAGTTGATCTCTTTCTAAGAGATGGCGTTGCAATATGTTAGATAAGGACAGATGAATGCGTTTGAGTGAGACACAACGATATATAATAAGTATAAGAAATGAATGAAAGATGTCACTATTGTCGAATTTGGAATTGAAAAAAGTTTGTACTATCGACCTTGATTAACTTCGACCGTCACTCCAGCATCCTCTTAAGCGCCGACAACGATTTTTTTCTAAAAAGTGATCGGTGACACGTCGTCGATGCTGTGACTCAATAGGGGGTAGACAAAGGGACAAAGAAGTTGCAAATGGAATATATAATGGGCCATCAGCGCGCAACACCTCAGTTGGTGCCCTGTAAAATTACCTAACCGATCATGATAAGCGTAATGTGGAAAATATGGCTGACCATCATGCAAACGTTGAGGACATTGACGTTGAGGACATGGTATAAATACAAACAAGTTATTCGAAGCACTAGAAGTAGAATTTGAGGACATAGTGGACCAAAAGTCGTCCAACGATACTGAATGTCTTATTAGTTTGAGCGGCAATACGGATCACACGCAAAGAAATTTGTGCAGCCTTCGGAAATCCGTGCATTGAACAGCCGTACTAAGCTCTGCATAATCTGCTGTTATTATTATACAGAGTGCAATGGTGCTCCTATCTTTTGTGCAACATGCATGACTGATTTGCGGGATTATAGCGATAAAGGAATGTATCTCATCAGGAATCACAAAGAACGTTCTTTCTATGCACTAGACTTCAGGTGATCGTGCTCGGAATGCGGAGAGAAGATGTACATTGTATACCCATGCAGCATGTGCCCATTCTGTGCACATTAAAAAACCATTGTGAACAGTAATGTGAACAGTATTGTAAACAGTATTGTGAACAAAAAATGAATATGAAAAGTATGGCTGACCATCGTGCGAACGTTGAGGACATGAATGGTGTAAATACAGACAAGTTATTTGAATCAATAGTAGTAGAATTTGAGGACATAGTGGACCAAAAGTCATCCAACGATACTGAATGTCTCGTTTGGACGATGGCAATATGGATCACGCAGAGAAATTTGTGCAGTCTTCGGAAATCGAAGCGTTAGACATTCATACTAATCACTGCATAATCTGCTGTTATTATACAATGGGTGGTGCTTTAGTCATATGTATATATTGCATGGCTTATCCGCCAAATTATCGCAAGATTTCTTTGCGAAATATTGGCGATGAAGGAATGTATCTCATCAGGACGCACCAAGATTGGTCTTCCTGTGCACAAGGCACCGAGTGCTCGATATGCCAAGAGCCGATATACACTGTATTTCCACGTAGCATGTGGCCACTCTGTACACATTGAAAAATTATTGAGTGCTCCGTGTAAGAGTGTATGTGATTTAAAAACATGGAAAACCACAAGCGGATGGAACGTGAACTACTGGAGCAGTGCGGCCAGGTCGCTACTCTGGTAGAGTGCTTCGCGTGGCTGCAACGATGCGACGAGTGCATCGAGCAGCTCGAAGAATTTGCCATACCTAGAGTCCTAGATTTATCAGAGAGGCGCAACCGATGTTATGCATTCTGATTCGCTGTTGCAATCTAATCAATTGCGTGACTTGGCAACCATTTATAGTACTAGTGACATATTTCAATTTCATTTTATCCTATACATTCTGTCTTACATTATCCTACACGTCTTATCTTGTTTGACATAGTTTAAAGGCAGTTTCATAGCATGTCGGCCATGTTTAGTACTCTCCTTAGTACCTTTGTCATACTGACTTAAGCCGGTTGCCCTTCTCTGATAAATCTAGTACTCTAGCCATACCAAGCGTCCGCGCCTCATCGTCGGATACAGACAATCCGCGGTGGCGAGGATCGCGCGACTCCCGGATGCAAAGTCCCAACTGGAGCGACGTTTCGTGCACGTTGGTGGCGAGTACGCGAATGGCGGGTACGCGAGTGGCAACGAGCAATCTCTTGTATGGCGAGAGATTGACGCTGCGTTCGAGAATCGTATAGCGACAGGTGCGGTGATAAACTATAATCATATCGAGCCTCGCCGATTCCTCGAAGACGCTGGCAATGTAGTGCTAGAGCGAGTGCGAGACGCTGTAGAAAGACATGGCAGTATAAAAGTGAACACAGCATTCAACGGCGACTTCGCGACAAAGGATAAACGTGCTAATAAAAGCATAATTACGAAAAACAATGAGATTTATCAATGCACCAATATGCACGAGTGGTATGAACAGCACGTCGTCGAGCCTATCTTGGCATCGCTCGAAGAGTTTCAGGAACGCGACAATGGGTGGACGCTGTCGCGAATCCTCAACTCGACTGTTAACGTAAACAAATTGAATCCCATGCGTGCGGGATGCCATATCGAAGTGCCGCGGGAAATTGCGTCGAAACGAGCGGTGATCAGTGTGTATACGACGGACAATGCGTGCTTCGCGTGGTCGGTGGTCGCTGCTCTGTACCCCGCAGAAAGACATGCAGATCGGGAATATTCGTACCCGCATTATACGATAGTATTGAATCTCACAAACATTGAGTTCCGATGACTTTAAAAGCCATTCCAAAATTCGAACGTTTAAACGCAGTGTCAATCAACGTGTACGGCATCGAGAATAAACAGATCCTTCCTTTGCGACTCACAGGCGACAAAAAGGAGAAACACGTCAATCTCCTATACCTGCAAGATCCACGCAATGATAGCATTAGCCACTTTGCGTGGATAAAGAACCTGTCGCGCCTTGTGAGCTCGCAACTCACAAGAAAGGAGCACAAAAAATACTTCTGCGATCGGTAAGTATAATAAGAAAAGTAAATATAATAAGAAAAAAAATAAAAAAAACATGTGAAAAAAATGATTTCTCTATTTACAGGTGCCTTCACTATTTTGACTCGAGCCAAAAATTGCAGACGCACAAAGTGGATTGTCAATCAAATTTTGAGTCCGAATTCGAAATCAACGACTCTCTCTCTTCCCTCTCTCCCCCTTTCCATCCCCCCTCTATTGCCCGTCCTCTCCCCTTCTTACCCCTAACCTTACCCTTTACACCTTCCCTATTCCCTCGCACCCCCCTTCCATTATTATTCACCCCTTCTCCTATCCCTTCTTCTTCTCCGTTTCATCTTCCTTATTCCTTTCTCCCTCCTTAACCCCCTCCCCTACCTCTTTCCCCTCCCATCCCTTAATTCCTCTCTATCTTCATCCCATTTCCACTATCCTCCTAGGATTTAAAAAGGGATTATTATTATTAAATAAGTTATACAAATTACTATTACAAAAGAAAACTATATTGGATGCTTATGACGTAGAACCATTTGACAAGAATAAGTTTCCAATTTTGTTGCTATTTGAAGGTTGCAGGAAAGGATTATGTTGAATATTGGGATTATTCATGAACGATTGTTGATGAATATTGTTTGAATTCCTTTTTTTCTTGAAAAGCTATTACCTAAAATATATGTAAAATCAAAAATTATATATATGTTTTCATAAACATACATATATACAATATATGTATATAATTATATACACGTATGTTATTTCGCATTTATATTATTATACGTAATATAATATCTGTATACTAATTATTAATAAAATTCATATATTAATTTAATATATATATAATAGAATATAAATTTTTAGAATTTAAGTTCAACAATATATAAAAATTTTTAATCAAAAACATTTTTAAATGAACGCAAAAAAATAATAGAATCAGAAAATTAAAAAATCTTTATATATAACAGTACAGATATGATTATCAAATAAATATCCATTCAAAAATATGTACGGACTTTTTAGGGGATTTATAATAACGTTCACAACTGTGCGAACACCAATTATTGTAGCAATAACACAATAACAACACAAAATAATTCATAGGATCGTTTCTGGCGAAAAGTAAAACTTGGAACGATATATTATTAATAATAATTCAGAATTTTTTCTACCAGTGGATCTGGTGGAAATCATATCAGTGACTAGGAAGATTGCAATCAAACCGAAACGAAAATCCATCGTGCAGAAGGACGCATGAGTAGATATCAAGTATTCGATGTTAAGACATTTGACGCCAGAGATAGCTATGCGCTTCTCTTCCACTTCTTTCTCCCTATTTTATAAAGAATGGAAGATGGCGATAAGTAAAAAAAGCAGAAAGAGACGAAGATGAGAACAAAGTGTGTAGAAGATCAGGGTATGGTCCTATATAATATTCGAGTCATCACTCAATCGAGTAAACAAACATTATAATTTTTACAATAAATTTGATAAAACAAGTAGCAATCGTTAACACTAAAAGTTATAAATTATAACATTATCTCAACAGAGTTTTGTAAGGCTATTAAAATTATAAGATAAATGCGGTTTAGAGTACATTTAACGTAAAGTAACTTTGCAAGTATAAAATATAATTAAGTACATAATATATTTTGAAAAAATGGATATTTCAGTATTTATCTATAAAGTTGGCACAATTACATGAATTTATAATCATTAAATCAATGAATATCATTAAATATTTGATTTTAATACTTAATGGTATAATATTTTGATTAATTATTAATCGCGGTATAATCATAAATTGTAAACGTTCAAAAAACTGAAATTGTTTTTTTATAACTCTGGACCTTACCCTTGCCCCTAACATTTTTGCAAAATAAAAAAAGATAATAAAGGGAGGATAAATATAAAAATTAAGAACCTCCGATTCTCTGACGCAATTAATCGAAACAAACAAACTAATTAGTGTAAAAATTAACAAGATAAAGAGATATAAAAAAGGAAAGAAACAAACCAAACGGGTATTACTCATAATACACAGAGATATATATAAGTAATAATATACTTGTAGGGTGTGATAGATGGCAGATGTGTGCATGTGAGCGTGCGAGCGTTGCGGCGCGGAGAAACTCGCGAGGCGTTCGCAAGGATGTGTGTGTGAGTTGTTGCGAGTCCTGAGAAGAAACATTGCGAGTCCTGAGAAGAAACATTGCGAGTCCTGAGAAGAAACGTTGCGAGTTCCATAAGTTGCTGCGAGTCCTACGAGTTACTTTTGCGAGTCAGTGAGAATTCCTACGCGTCGTGCGAGTTGTGAGTTACGAGAGCCCTTGTGGCTTTTCCGAGATCGAGCTGTAGCGTGTAGAGCGGTTGCTTCGCGCGCCTGTGCTCGAAGTGTAAACACATCATATAACCTGTAAACTCTTTTATTAAACATTTATATTATATTATCTCATTATTCTATATACTTGCAATACTTACAAAAAATAAATAAATAAATGAATGTATCTACATACACTGTTAGAAATTTCTCAATGAATTTTAATTAACATGTAAAGGGGAAGTATGTGGTTATGCACAAAATTAAATGTAATGAATGATGTAAATAAAAACTAAATTACAGTAGTTTTAAATGTGTTGAACGTGTGTATTGAAATTAATGAACACATTATTATAAAAATTAATTTACACGTTAATGAAAAGTACGGGATCTGTAACTGAAAAGTAATTTACGTTAATGACATGTAAGAAACGTAAACGTATTAAACGTTAAGCGTTAATAGTATTAGGCTTAATTAAAATATTATTAATATTCGTAAATGTAAAAGTACATTAAATTTCAATATGCTTAACTTTTAAGTACTACGAACTTAAATTTCATTAATATGTACATTAATAGTTATTTCAATTACGATTAATTAAATGTCATTCATATCTGTAAATGAAAAGTATATTAAATTTCATTACACTTAATTTTTCAGTTCCTGTAAACTTAAATCTCATTAACATGTGCATTAATAGTCCTTTCAGTTACAGAGAAATTAAACTTCATTCATCAATGTACATAAAAGTTAATGAAATTTAAGAACATTTCTAACAGTGTATATATGAATAGTGTTGTGCGAAGAAATAAAAGTCGAAATAAAAGAAACAGGAGTTACTTAATAATAAATAAATAGGAAATTAATCAACACTTAATGAATTAAATAAAGGAAAGTCGCCGATATATACTGACATAGGTCTCCTAAAATGACACCCCCTTATTTTTCGGAAACTAACTATTGCACTTTATTAATACTAATAAAATCATGATCTGTTTAGCTAATTAAACAAGTACAAACTCATAATTTGTAGGTTTGTGGCTTGTTTCTATATCAAATCAGCTAAAAACGAATTCTACAAATGCGAAAATAAAATTCTTACGATTTTCTTTTGCAAATTGTGAGGTTTAAATAATAGTGATTATATTATTGATAATATTACGTCATTTTAAATACTTGTAGTTTCCGAAATAAGTTTTATTTATATTATTTTTTCTCTTAGCCTTTTCATAATACGATTTTTAATTTAAAATTGGGGTGCAGCGTAAACCGACACACCTGTCCGTAAAACAGATCATGAGCTAACTTAATCTTTATAATGTTGCTTTATAGTGTCAAATAAGTCTATTGGAGCTGAAGGCAATCGTGCATATATGGAACAACTCTAGAAATTATCTCGTTACATATTTGCATTTTGCAGAACAGCATAAAGTAAATATGCATATAATTCAATAAAAATGTTTTATAACGAAATAAAATAATTTTGAAAAATCTTATATACATTCACTTATAGGTACTTTATACAGATAATTCCTGTAAAAGAAAAAAAAATAGGAATACGTAGCATTACTGCCTATTATGTCAGTTTTGGAGCCCATTGTCAGACGCTCATTTTTGCATAACTTACGAAAAATTTAATTATTGCAAAATTGCAAACAGTATTATAAAAATTGCTTATACTATCTGATATAAGATACTTTTTACTTTGTATGTATGTTTTTGAAGTCGTATTTTTACCTTTTGTTTAAGAAATATTGTCTAAAAACAAAGTGGTATGTCGGTATCGGTGACCTTCCTCTAATAATTATTATTACACAAACTATATAAACATATACATAAAATAAAACAAAAAATTTAGCATTGAATAATTTTGTGATAAACATAAAATGTAATGCATAACACTTAAAAATTTTTATTTTGTACTAATATATTTACATATTTACATATGTCAATATATTTATGTATTTACTTAATGCTATGATGTTGTAAAAATACTTCGGCTTGATGGATTCCTGTCTCGTAAGCTCCATGTGTCGTCGAGTAAAACTCGTCATGCGTAGCTTCGCCGGCAAATAATATGACTGGTAGATTCTGTTATATTCGCAAAAATTCACAAGATGGACAATACATTTTAATTTGTTTTTTTTTAATTTATTTTTTTTAATCTTTACATTATCTTAATTAAATATAATATGAAAATGCTTAAAAATGTGACTATAAAATCTTCAATTTAAGAATTTTTTTAAAATGTTAAATAAAAATGTAGTTAATGAGTTACGTAAATACGATATAATCTCACCTTTTTTCTCTTCATATCAATTTGCATTGTCGCCCAAACTGGTTCGGTCAATATCTTTGGTGAAATATCATCCTCTTCACAACTTTTCGTAATGTGACTGTAACCGCCTCTCACGTATCTATTTTCGTTCCACTTAGTTCGAACGCATCTTCTGACTGGCGGTATATCGCGATACCGTACGTATCGCGTCAACAGATTCTTACAATCTTCCGCAATTGTTTCCTCTGACAATTCTTCAATGATACACGCCCCTCGCCCGCCGACCCACACTATAAGAGTGGCCACATGAATCGGCAGAACATCGAATCCTGTGACATACTTGGTCCATTCCGGCAAAGATGAGTGATCGGCATCCCTGCGCCAAAGCAATTGGAAACCATTCACACCTCTTTGCCACCAGGGTTCACCGAAGTCCAGAAAAATCTTATTAATCGTTCCGAAACCAAGATCCTCAATAGCAATGCTTAGACGATTTGGTAATGGCGGTTGGAACATGTTCTGATGGTTACTCTTCAAATAACCAAGCGAACAAGTAACTATGACCGCATCAGCGAGAATTTCAGTGCCATCGAAAGTTTTCACGATAACTGGAGAATCATTTGGAGAGTCAATGAAGTTCCGCCAGTGAATGACTTCCACGGGAGTGGATAAACGTATTTTTCGCTTATCCAGATTGTCAACGATAAGATTTGTTAAAGAACTGTAGCCGGATTTGAAGAGCAAATGTTCCGGTCCGCCAACGTACTGTAGA